ATACTTGTGAAATATCAAAGAGACTACATGCAGTCAATGTGACTCAGAGTGAAGAACGGAGCAGCAGGTAACATAAATCAAGGCGACAATGCAGACACTGCCTCCCACCTTGCCAACTGTCACTGTGACCTTAGGGAAAACACTGGCCTATCTACTCAACAACCAGATGCATCTCACTTCACATAATGTATGGACACACACACTCACACACACACACACACACACACACACACACAGACTAGCTCCCTTGGGTTCCTGTTGCACTCCCATAAGTTTTCTAAATACTTCTTTGAGTCTCAGAATTCTTAGGGCTGGAGAGATTGGTTAAGAATACTTGTTCTTCCGGAGGACCCAAGTTTGATTCCCAGCACCCATATGGTGGCTAACAACCATCTATAAACTCCAGTTCTAGGGGATTTGACACCCTCTTCTGGCCTCTGCAGGGATTGCATGCATGTGGTGCACTTCCATACAAGCAGGCAAAACATTCATACACATAAATATAATAATAATAACAATAATAATAATAAATAGAATAAAAAGAGTCTCAGAGTCTTGAGGTTGAGGATTGCCATTTGTGTCTCTGGTGTTAGCGTAGTGCTGTGCTTTTGCTAGCAACGGGGTCCCTCTCTCTTCCAAATCCTGGCCACCTTGCCAGTCTCGACAGGGAACCCCGAGTGGGAGAAGGAACCCCCAGCAGTGCCTGGGAGTTTGGTGCTGTCTCTTGGGGGCAACTTTTGGCTGATGAAAACCCTTCAGTACCATGACTCTAGATTCCAAACCTGAAAGATCATTAGCACCATCAGCTCATCCTGTGATGGGTTCTTCTCAATAACATGGCTTCCTTATGATTTGTGTTTTAGGAAGAACCACGAAGCAAATCCAAGATCTGTGCCAATGTGTTTTGTGGAGCTGGCCGGGAATGTGCAGTCACAGAGAAGGGAGAGCCCACTTGCCTCTGCATTGAGGTAGGTTCTGAGGTCAGACATAGAGAGTAGCAGTCAAGGGCAGTGCCAGCGATGTCATCGTTTCTATAAAAGCACAGCTCGTTTATCTCAAAGACATATGGAATTTACCCCCATGGTTAAAAGTCAGATGACTGTTTTTTTAAATTCAGAGATAGTTTTTTCTTCATTAAAAAATGCCTGTATATATTGCTTTTTCTCCTCTCTCTTTCTCTGTCTCCTCTCTCCTCTCTCCTCTCTCCCTCCCTGCTCACCTCTCTCCTTTTGGGGATTCCTTCTCCCACTCAGGGTTCCCTGCCATCGACTTGGCAGTCGAGACTGGCAAAGTGGCCAGGGTTTGGGAGAGAGAGGGACCCCATTGCTAGCGAAAGCAGAGAGACCACAGTATTCTTATGCAAAAGCTAGTCAAGTATTTCCTAGCTGCTTTGGAGGTATCACTCACTCCGCTCACTCCTGTAGGGTGCTTTTACTGTAGGGTGCTTTTACTGTTAACTGCGTGTTTATCTATATGTAAAAACCTTCTAAAGCAAATGCAGTATTCTCCATTTTCTTATCAAAAAAAAAGTCTTTAGGCAGCTGGGGAGATAGCACAGTAGGAAGAGTACTTGCTGCACATGAGGACCTGAGTTCAATCTTCAGCACTTGCTTATCAGCCAGACATTGGGCCAGGTATGGTTGGCACACACCTTTAATCCCAGCACTTGGGAGATAGAGGCAAGTGAATCTCTGTGGGTTGGAGGCCAGCCTGGTCTAGATGATAAGTTCCAGACTTTCCAGGGCTACAGGTAAACCTGTCTCAAAAAGACCAAAACAGCAAAACAACAACAACAACTAAACAGCCAGGCACAGCAGCATACACCTATAATCCTGGCACTGGGGAGGCAGACTGGAGAATCCCTGGGGCTTGCTGGCCAGTCTAACTAAATGGGTGAGCTCTGGTTTCGATGAGAGACTCTGTCTTAAGAAATCTAAAATTATAAGCAATTGAGAGGGATGCCAGACATCAACCTCTGTCACACACACACACACACACACACACACACACACACACACACAGGCTTAGAGCCGTGAGTGTAGCTCATTGATAGAACAAGTTCAGTGTTCAATCTCTGGTGCTAAAAAAAAAAAAAAAAAAGGCTGTATATGATTTTTAAATTATGACTGAGGAGATGGCTTAGTAATATAAATGACTACTGCACAAGCATGAGGACCTGAGTTCAGATCCCCAGCCCCCCCACAGAAGCCTGGTAACCCCAGTACTGGGGGAAGAGAGGCGAGGTGGATCCCTGGAGCTCATTGACCAGCCAACCTAGCCAAACCCATGAGCTCCAGATTTAGTAAAAGATCTGTCTCAGTAAAGAAAATAGAGAGCAATCAAGAGCAGCACTCAGTATTGTCCTCCAGCCTCTACATACCCATGCACACACATACACACACACACACACACACACACACACATACACACACACTCCAAAAGGAAAAAGATTTATGATAGCAAGGAAGCAAAACCAGCCTAGTTGTCCATCTACAGATGAATGGATACTGAAAATGCGGTACATACACAAAACGAAGTATTGTTCAGTTGTAAAGAGAAGTGAAACTTGCAGGAAAATGGATGGTCCTAGAAGGAATAGTATTAAGCAAGGTGATCCAAACTCAGAAAGAAAAAATCATGTTCTACCTTATATGTTGAGCCTAGCCTATAATGTATGCATATAAGCAGCTGTATGGGAATAGTCTAAAATTTAGAAAGGTGACCAAGAAAAGGTGCCATTAGGTGATGGGGAAGGGCGGGATGCAGGCTAAAAGACACATGAGTCATGAAAGAGGATATAAAGCTATTGTTTTCCTAGTTTGAACTCTATCATAATTTTGAGGGCTTTTTTTTTTTTTTAAGATGAATATGTGAATTCAACTTTCTGGGTTGAAAGAATTAGCAAGAACTATTTTTGCTTTCTGTAAGAATCCAACATGTGGGGGCTGGAGAGGTGGCTCAGCAGTTAAGAACACTGGCTGTTCTTGCAGAAGACCCAGGTTCAAATCCCAGCACCCACGTGGCAGCTAACAATTGTTGGTAACTCCATTTCCAAGGGATCTGACAGCCTCTTCTGACCTCCTCAGGCATTGCACGACATGGATGCACTTACCTACACGCAGGCAATACATGTGTACATATAAAAATAATAAATAAAAAATATTTTTTAAAAAAGAATCCAACATGTGTTATTTCTTAGTCTTTCTTTTTAATTCCATTGACCATCTGTGCAATAGGAATTAGACATGACAATGCACTGAATTATTATTTGCTACAGTGG